TCATTTATATGTGATTTTCCAATTTAATGTATTTTTTTTTTTTTTTTTTTTTTTTATTTTATCTATATTGCATCTTTATATAAAAATCATTTTTATATTTGTATGAACTTATAAATAATTATATGAGTATTTTATCTTATTCTGCTTATCTTTTTTTTACTTATTTCATTTTTAACAATTAAAAACAATTTACAAATAGGTTTAAAAAATATTTTATTTTTAAAACATACTTAAAAATAATTTATAGAAAATAATAAACATAAAGTTTTTTATCAACAAGGAAAAACGTTTTTTCTATAAATATGAAAAACAGTCTATAAATATATATTCATAAAAGTAAAAATCATAAAAAAAAAAGAAGAATAAACACTTTCTGCAATATGAGAAGAAGTTAACTATTATTTAATTTTTAAAAATTCATTTTTAGGTAAAGAAGCTTTTTATGCAAAAAAAAAAAAAAAAAAAAAAAAATAATGATAAATGGAAAGACTAAAATATTTCTTATTTAACACTTTAAAGATTTGACTTTTTCAATTTTGTTCATTAAAAAAGAGTAAAATATAATTCTTTTGTTCATATTTTTATATATATATAAATATTATCGAAGATAATAATATTATAAGAAATCAAATTATGGTTAAGTATTATATAATAGGAATTATTAAAAAGTAATTTATTCCCCTACTTTATGTGAAAAATGATCCAAAACCATTAATTTATAATTTCTTTTATTTTTTTTTAGTATTCTAATATACAACAGTAAGTTCATGATTGTTTTGTTTTATAAGTTTTTTTTATTAGAGAATTTTTAAGAAAAAAATACAAGTTTATTTTAATAATATATTTTTAATAACTATAAACATTTTAAGAATATATAATATATAAAAAAAAATGTTTTTTCTTTTAAAAAATGAAAGAAAAAAAGAAAAAAAAAAAAGAATATTTCCGAATATAATTTATATATGAGAAATACAGGCAAAAATTAGTTATTCATATGATAGAAAAATAACAATTTTTTATATTACTATTATAAATATCTTTTAGCATAAAAAAATTAGATAATTAAAATATTCTTTTAAAATGAAAACAAAAAATAGTTTTATAAATAAATGGATTTTCATAATTTTCTCAAAAATTCCATCAATTTTTTGTTCCCAAAAAAAAAAAATATTATATCAAGAAATTATAGAAAATGTAAAAACATCCAAAATAATTAATTACCCTATAGATAAAAATTCTGTAAACTTCTATTTTATTTCTAATAAAATTAGTAAGCTTTTAAATGTAGCAGATCAAATAATTGATGAAAAAAAAAAAAAAATAATGAAACTGGAAAACTGTTTAAACTTGTATTATCTGTTAGTTACATCTGCAAAACTAAACCCTTCAATTTTAAAAAAATATATTTTAGAATATATTGAGGAAAGAATATCTTGGATTTTAAAAAAAAATAAAAATGTAAATATAGATCATAAATTAATTCCTTATACTATACATATAAGAAGGGAAAAATTACTTTGTAATTTAATAAATGAATTAAATGTATACTGTTCTAATTATTTAAAAAAAATTAATAATATTAAAACACGGTAAATTTAAAAATACGATATAATAATAATTTTCTTTTTAAATTTATATAATAAAGCTTAAAAGTATTAATATTTTATTTATTATTATTATTTTTTTTTTTTTTCTTTTCTTTTTTATAGATATTTAGTAATAGATAAAAATGAAATAAATATTGATGAAGAATGGAAGAAAAAACATGAATATATTTTTAATAAGAATAAATTAAAAATACCTATAAGCAAACATAATTATGAATTTATTTTATACGGATTAAATGAGTCTAGTTTAAGAAAAAAAGTTCTTCATATACTCAACATTCCATATAAAAATAAAAATTTAAATAGTGATGTAATAAATATATTAAAAAAAAGATATGAAATAGCAAATAAATGTGGTTATAATAATTGGAGTCATTATTCTATATCTCATTTTACAAGTGAAAAGAATAATTATAACAATTTAAATGAATTTTTCAATTTAATTAAAACAAAAATAGATAAAGACAATCATAAAATAAACTTTAATATGATGAAATTATTTAATTTAAAAAAAAAAAATAATTGTTTGAATAATAATTATGTTGACAATAATATTAATAATAAAATAGATATATATGATTGGTATTATTACTATAATAAAATGTCTAACAAATCAGATGAATATTTCATAAATACCTTTTTTCCACAAAATAGTGTTTTAAATAATTTTATTCAAATAATTTCAAAAATATATAATTTTTCATATGAAAGGGTTACAAATAAAGAAATATTAAAGAAATGGCCTAATAATAGTATTATATATAAAATTAAAAGGGGAAACGAAAAAAAAATAAAACAAAGTCTAAATTATGAAAAAAGAGATAATATGGAATTTAATGATTGTGATTTATTAGGATATATATATATAATACCATATATGAATATAAGATTAAAAGATTATTTTAAAATTCCATTAATGAATTCTTTATCAAGTACATATTTAATATGTAATGGTCATGTATTAATAGATTACAAATTTATGCAAACTGTACCTCTTGAAAAAAAATTATTTAGTTCATCAGAAATTTTAACATTATTTCATGAGTTTGGTCATGCGTATCATTTGTTATTATTGTCAAATAAATATTCTTTATATAATTTTTATAATATCCCTTTAGATTATGCAGAATATTTTTCACATATAAATGAACATTTAGTTAACAATTATAATATAATATATAATTTATCAAATAAAGAAATAAATAATTCAAAAATAAATGAAAATTTATTTAATTCCATAAAATTTGATTCTTCAAGACTATTTAACATTTATTTACAATCTTTAATTGACTACAAAATTCATGATATGAATCCATTTTTGTTTTTTTCAAATAATAATCAACAAGATGAATATGCTCTAAATGATTTTTATAAAATTATTCAAAATTATCTTCCTTACAAAATTTCTTCCTTATATTCAATTCATTCGACCAGTTTTCCTTATCATTTTTCTTGTTATTATGCTGGGTCGGTTTTAAGCTATTTATTGGCAGAAATTAGAGTTATTCTAAATAATTCAACTAATGACATATCGTTAAAAAAAAATAATACCTTAATATCTTTTCAAAAAAAATTTTATAATTTTTTATCAAAGGATTTTAGAGATGAAACTTATCCATCCATAATAAAATCTGCTTTATCAAATCAAAACTTAATTTTCAATAAATAAATTTTTTGCATAAGAAATTATACCACCGTTTTTAATGAGTTAAACATTTTATTTTAATGTAATGTGAATAAGCTTTTGTATATATAAATATAAGCTTAAAATAAATTGAAACAAAAGGAAAAATATTACATATGAATTTTTTACTTTGTATAATTTTAAACATTTTTGAACTTTATAAACATTTTTTCATTCTTTATTATTTTTATATATATAATTTTAATTTTTTTTTTTTTTTTTTTTTTTTAAAATCAATTTTAATTATGTTTTTTAGTATTCAATAGTTATACTAGCAAAAAATAAAAAAAAAAATAACAGAATTATTTTTATAAAAATTTACACTTTTTAAAGTTCTTTTTAATAATTTATTATTTTCATTAAATTTATCAATAATCTCTTTATAATAAGAAAAATTTTTACACAAAATATATTTAATTCCATTTATCTGTAATAAAAAAAAGTAGTTTCTTTCATATAAATGTTTATATTATGTACTTGCAGTTTCTGATAAAAATTAAAAAAATAAAAAATTTATAAAATATAAACTATTAAATTATATAAAACACAAATTATTACTTATTATAACGACATCACAATTTTAAACAAAAAGCAAAAAAAAAAAAAAAAAAAAAAAAAAAATTTAGTAAGCATCACAATATTTAATTTTTAAAAAATATATAATTTATATTTCAATAGGAAAAGGTGAAAAAAAAAAAAAAAGAATATATGGCTTTTATAAATGCTCTTATTTTGTAAAAATGATTTTTACTAAAATTAAAAAACAGAACTTAAAAAATATACATGTAAAACATAAAATAAATGTATACAATAATTTGTATATATAAATATATATAAAATAAATGTTAAAAAAATGTAAGAAATTATAATCAAATTACTAATGAGGATTCTCTGTTAATTACAATTATTCTTTTTGTATTATTATTTTTATTTTATTATTATTTTTTTTGATATTTTATTTATATGAATATATATGAATGTTCATATTAAAAATATTACATAAATAAAAATTATATAATAGCAAAGAAATATAAAGAATATCAAACATTATGGAAATTGAAAAATGTAATTGTTATTATGAAATATTGAATGTTGAAATTAATGCTACAATTGAAGAAATAAAAAAAAGTTATAAAAAAATTATTTTACAATATCATCCTGATAAAAATGCACATTTATCTGAAGAACAACAAAAAAAATATACAAATATTTTTCGAAAAATTCAAGAAGCTTATGAATGTTTGACGGATGAAAAACGAAGAAAATGGTATGATAAAAATCGTAAACGAATTATTGAAGGAAGAGAAGATGAAGAAAAAAACGAACTAAACAAATATTCAAGTAAGCATATAAATATTTGGGAATATTTTAATAATAACTGTTATAGTGGATTTGATGACAGTGAAAAAGGTTTTTATAATGTTTATAAAAATTTATTTGATGAAATAATAAAAGAAGAAAATGAAGAGATACAAAAGAAATATAAAAATAATAAAGAAAAAATTAATGCTCCAAGTTTTGGTAACTCTAAATCCTCTGGAAAAGATATTGATGCTTTTTATGAATTTTGGTCAAACTTTACGACAGTTAAAAAATTTGATTATTCATATGATTATATAAAAAGTTGTGAATTTGAAAATAGAAATGTTAGAAGAACTTTAAAAAAAGTTAATGAAAAAAGAAGTTTGAAAGAAAGAAAAGAATATAATGAAAACATAAGATCACTTGTTCACCATTTAAAAAAATATGACGTTCGTTATTTAAATAGAATCGTTGAAATAGCTGAAGAAAAAAGAAAAAAAATTGAAGAGAGAGAAAAACAAAAGAAACTACAAATGCTACAAAGAAAAATTTTATTTGAACAAAGTAAGAAAAGGGAATATTCAGAAAATGGAGAAGAATCAGATAATTATTCTTTAAATCATCTTGATAAGGATTTTTCTGATTCTACAAATTATAGCTCTAAGATGAGAGCAAATAAAAAATATACAAAAGAGACAGAAGAAGGGAAACATATAGAAAAAGATGATGAAGATGATAAAAAAATATATGAAGAAGAAAATTCTTTTAATGAAGAAGGAAAAAGTAAATATTATGAACATACATATAATATAGGAATTAATGATAACGTACATAATAATGATACAGATAAAAATAATGTTTTAAAAAAAATTATATATAGATGTGAAGTATGCAAAAAGAATTTTAAAAGCATGAATCAATATGAATCACATGAGAAATCAAAAAAACATGTAAGTAACTTTTTAAAAAATTCCAAAAAATATGATTTAAGAAGTATTTTTGAGGAAGAAGAGAATCAAAAAAAAGAAGTATACTCTGATAACAAAGTGGAAAATATGGATAACATTGATAATAAAAAAAAGGAATTTTCTTTATCTCAATTTAAAAACATAGAAAAAATTAATAATGATATATATGAAAAAGTTGATAATAGTAGTGATTTATTAAATGTTAATAATAAAAAATTACAATTAAATGAAAATCTTACAAATGAAGAAATATTAGAAGATTATGACAAATTATTTCAAGATAAAAATACTATGTGCGATTATAAAAACAAGAATAATAAGAGTGTAAAAAAAACTATTGATACATTAACATGTGAAAATGAAAAAAAAGAAGAAAAAAAAGAATATGAAGAAAAAAAAAAAAACGAAAAATCTAGTTTGAAAAAAAATAAAAATAAAGATAAATGTGGTAAAGAAAATATTTCATGTAATATACAAAATGATGTTACTTCTGAATCTTCAAATAATAATGAAAATTTGTTGTCATGGTATAGAAGTACAAAAAAAAATAAAACCAAATTTTTACAAATAGAAAGTTCACTAGAAGATAATGATTATTTTCAAAATAATCAAAATATGAATAATTCTAATGATGATAATGACACTTCAGGAAAAAAAAAAAAAACATTAAAAAAAAATAAAAAAAAGGCATTAATAAAGAATGAAAATAAAACAAATAATATTTTTGAAGAAAATTCAGATTGGAAACCAAAAGTTAATCATACTAATAAAATAAAAGAAAATATAAAAAATAACCAATGTAAAATCTGTAAACAAACGTTTGATTCAAGAAATAAATTGTTTCATCATATAGAAATAAAAGGTCATGCTGCATATAAAAATAAATAAAAATAAAGGAAATGATAAATAATTATTAAAAATTCATTTACTCAAATGATTTATTGAATTTTTTATCTAAATATTTGCATATTAAAAATGCTTAAGTATGCATAATGACACTAGTTTTGTACATATATATTTTAATGCTTTATGTTAGGATATTTATATTTTTTTTTTTTTTTTTTTTTAGTATTCAAATGCTACTTATTAATATAATTATTATTTAAAGAAATACATTAATTTTTTGTTTTATTTCATTTTTTTTTTTTTTTTTTGTTTTCAATTAATATATTTTTAATAAGCTGTAAAATCATTTTAAAATTATCTTTTTAATCATTTTAAATTTTATTTTTTTAAAGAAAATATATTTGTTTAAATAAATTTAAATTAAAAAATTAAGATATATAACAAAATGTTATCAAAAAGGAATTTTCTTTTTAAGAATATATTACAAACATAATAAAGAAGTATTGTTTCAATGTGTATTTCAAAAACATGTAAGGTATATAAATTTAGAAATAAATTTTAAAAGATAGTATATTAACATTTACAATTAATAAAAGTTCTAAATTTACATGACTCGTTCATATATTAATATTTTTATTTGATATGATAAGGATACCTTATTTTTTATTGTATTATTAGATTTACTACTATTTTCTTTTTTCTTTTTAGCATTTTTAATTCTATTGTTTTTTAATTTTTCAACTAACATTCTCTTTTTTTAAAGAAGTTAAATATTATGTGAATAGATTTTTATATTAATTATTTATGTATAACATTCTATGTATATAAAACATTTTACTTTTCATTTTTTCTCTACATTAATTTTTTTTGTGTCATTAAACCTTTTATATATATTAGAAGCATTTTTTTTTTTTTTTTTTTTTTTTTTTTTTATATCTACACACGTCATAATTTTAAAACTACTATTATGATATAAATCCTTGAAAAAATTAAATGCAATTTGAATTAATACTAAAGGGATACGTAAAAAAAAATATAAATATCCTCAATTATATGTTTTATAATTTTTTTTTAATAATTAAAAGTTTATTATAATTTTATGTAAATTTATATTTCTGTCATTATGCATGTAAATGTTTTTTCATTTTTCATATTATCTGTACTAGCTTAGAAAATACGTTCATATATGTAAAATCAATTTCATATAGAATATCATATTAAGAATTTTTTACTTTTTCCTATATTTATAAAACGTAATTGTTGAATGAAAAACATAAATAGACTAAAAAATCATTAACATTTTAAAAATTTAAAATAAAACAATATACAAAAAGGACCTATCTTTTTAAAGATTGTAAGAAAAAAGTTAAAAATAATAAACATATTTTTGGTTACATAATATATATATGTATGATAAAGAAAAAAAAAAAAAAAAAGAAAAAAATTAAAATAATTAAAAATATTATAGAAAATTATGTTCAAATTAATGATAATATTTTATCATAAAAAGTTTTAATATTTGCATTTTCAAACATAAACTTTGCATATGATATCATTTTTTATTATTATAAATATGGTAAGGATATAATTTAAAAAAAAAAAAAAAAAAATTTTTTGTTAGATGTTTGAACGAATAAAACAGCTAAATAATATCTAAATGACAATTAGATTAAAAATATATTATATAAAAAAAAAAGGAAAGATAAAGTAATATTTATATATTTATATAATTCTTTTATATAAATGTATTCATATATAAACATTTTATTTTATAATCATGCTTATTTTTCTTTGTATAAAAAAATGAATGAACTTGTGAATTTGAATATCAAAAATTAAGTAATAATATTAATATTACATAAATAACGTAATTTTAATTGTGGTTTTTTGTAATAATTTTATCATTGAAAAAAAAAAAAAAAAAAAAAAAAAAATCAAAAAAAAAAAAATAAAAAATAAAAAGCTAAAAACAAAAAACAAAATTAGAGGAAAATAGAAAAAAATATATAAAATGTTAAAAATATAACATGAAATTTTTTAGTAAATAAGAAAAAAGATAATATACGTGAAAAGTATGAAAATTAATAATTTATATATGTAATAAATAAATATATATGTGTATTTTAAAATAAACAAATAAACAAAAAGAAGTTGAAATAAGGAAAGTAATTTTTTATTATTTGGAAAATTGTATGCGTTATAATAGTACTTTTTATTATTATTATTGTTTTATATATTAAGTATTTGATAAAAAGATATATAATAAATAGTGAATTTAGATATGGATAACACATTTGATTATAGCCAAATAGATATAGATGATTTTGATGAGTTCAACGATTTTTGTGATTTAAGAGATAAGAAAAAAAAAAAGGATAGTTATTATTCAGCAGATTATGATGAAAATAATATAAAAGGTACTGATGGTACAAAAAATAAAGAAGGTGTAAGGAAAAGCAAGAAAGAAAAAATTCATAAGAATAAAAAAAATAATAAATCATCGAATTGTTCTTATTCTTCTAATGAGAAAAGATTAGATAATGGAGAGGAAAGTGAAGAAGAGTATGATTCTCTTTATAAAAAAAAAAAAAAAAATTATAAAAACAATCAACATCTAACTTCTAATAATTATCAAAATAATCTAGACAGCTTAATTGAGAAAGGTAGTTACGATGATAACAAGTCGAACAAATATATGGATAATGTAAAAGAAGATTATGATTTGGGGAAAAAAAAAAGTTATGAAGATAATAATAAAAAATATATGAATGATAATAATAATAATAATTCTAATAGTAAATCAAAGAATAACAAAAATAAAGAAAAATTAAAATATTACAGGTGTCGCTATTGTGAAATTGATTCAATTGATAGTGTTGTCCAATGTAATAATTGTAATCGGTGGTTCTGTAACGGATCCTATGGGACCTGTGGTAGTCATATTGTTACTCATTTAGTTCGATCAAAACATAAAGAAATTAAATTACATAAAAACAGTTTACTAGGTGAAACAATTTTAGAATGTTATAATTGTGGTTGCAGAAATGTGTTTTTGTTAGGTTTTTTACCAACTTCAGAAGAAGGAGTAGTTGTTATTATATGTAGAGATCCATGTTTGGCATATTGTATATCTTTAAATGAGAAAAATCAAACAAAAGATGATAAGGATGACAATATAGAGGAAGAGGAAGAGGAAGAGGAGGATGAAGAAGATAATTCAAATAAAAAAGAAAATGAAACCATTATAAGTGATGAAAATGAATGTAGTGATATGAATGAGCAAGAAAAGAATAAAATAAATAATAGGGAAACAGAAAGTAATGAAAATGAAGAAATTAATGAAAAAAATAATAAAGAAAAAATTAATAGATATGATAAAGGGGGAAAAAAGAAAAAAGAAAAAAAGAATGATAATAATAATTCAAACAATAATTTAAAAGAATTAGGAAAAATGAAAGATTGGAATTTAAAAAAGTGGCAACCATTAATAGAAGATAGAAGCTTCCTTGATTGGTTAGTTAACATACCATCTACAGAAGAAGCAGAAAAAAAAGGTAAATTAGCTACATCTTACAATGTAAATAAATTAGAAGAATTGTGGAAGAATAAAAAAGATATATATATAGATGAATTAGACTTAGAAATATTAAATGATGAACCAGTAAAAGTAGAATTAAAATACGAGGATGCTCATCATTATCAATCTATATTTGCGCCACTTGTCCAATTAGAGGCAGACTATGATAAGTCTATAAAAGAAGGTCAAAAACAAGCAAATGTTACTGTTAGATGGGATGTTGGTTTAAATAAAAAAAGATATGCTCATTTCATATATGTAAAAGAGGAAAGCGAATTAAGATTAGTAGCAGGAGATGAACTGAAATTATCATATACCTATCCAAATGGTAAGATATGGAGTTGTGAAGGTCATATATCAAGATTACATAACACAGAAGAAATAGCATTAGAGTTGAGAATATTAGGTACAGCTGATGGTCCATGGGTAGATAATATAACTACAGGATTTACTGTTGAATTTGTATGGAAGAGTACTGCATATGATCGTATGCAATTAGCATTGAACGAATTTGCATTAAATTCCTATTCTTTAAGTGGTTTTTTATATCATAAATTATTAGGTCATGATATATCAGAAGATTCATTAGAATATAATAAAAATAATTTTTATAAACAGATGCAAAAAAAAGTAATGAGTATAAGGAATTATTCTGCACCTAATTTAGCTCCCCTTAACCATTCTCAAATTGATGCAATTAAGAAAAGTTTACTATCTCCATTATCATTAATTCAAGGTCCACCAGGAACAGGAAAAACTTTAACTTGTGCAACTTTAGTATATCATTTATCCAAAATGAATATGGGGAAAATTTTGGTAACAGCACCAAGCAATGTTGCTGTAGATCAATTATCCGTTCGAATACATAGGAGTGGTTTAAAGGTAGTGAGATTATGTGCAAAAAGTAGAGAATCTGTACCAAGTGTTGCTGACTATTTATATTTGCATAATCAAATGAAATTACTCAAAACAGATATAGGTGAAGAATTAAATAAATTATTAGAATTAAAAGAAGAAGTAGGAGAATTATCTCAGAAGGATGAAAGGAGATTAAAAAAATTAATATCTTATGCAGAACATGAAATATTAATAGCAGCTGATGTTATTTGTGCTACGTGTGTTGGTGCTATGGATAAGAGGTTAAAAAAATTTCGTTTTCGTCAAGTATTAGTAGATGAGGCTACTCAATCAACAGAACCTGAATGTTTAGTTCCATTAGTGACAGGTGCAAAACAAATTGTTTTGGTTGGTGATCATTGCCAATTAGGGCCTATAATTGTTTGCAAAAAAGCTGCAAATGCAGGATTAGGAAAAAGTTTATTTGAAAGATTAGTTATGTTAGGAATTACTCCATTTAGATTAGAAGTACAGTATCGTATGCATCCAGCATTAAGTGAATTTCCATCATATGTTTTTTATGATGGAAGTTTACAAAATGGTATTACATTAAAAGAAAGAGAATATCCTTTAAAAGATTTTCCTTGGCCTAACCCTAAATGTCCAATGTTTTTTTATAATTCAACTGGACTTGAAGAAATGTCTGCATCTGGAACAAGTTATCTAAATAGAAGTGAAGCATCTAATATGGAGAAGTTAGTTCGAACATTATTAAAATGTGGGTTAAAACCAAATCAAATTGGTGTCATTACCCCTTACGAAGGTCAAAGAGCATATATAACTTCCTTATTTCAGAAAAACATTTCTTTTCAACATTCTGCAGAAATTGAAGTAGCTTCTGTTGACGCATTTCAAGGAAGAGAAAAAGATTTTATTCTTTTATCTTGTGTTAGATCTAATAAAAAGTTAGGAATAGGTTTCTTAAACGATCCTAGAAGATTAAATGTTGCTTTAACAAGAGCCAAATATGGTCTAATAATATGTGGTAATGCAAAAGTTTTATCTAGGCATCATTTTATATCAAAAGAAAAAATCAACTCCAATGAAACAATTACTAATGTTAATTCAGTTTGGATAAATTTGTTAAGTCAATTCAAAAAGAAAGATTTAATTGTAGAAGGATGCTTATCTAATTTAAAACCAGTAAATATTAATATTCCTACACCTACAAAATTGCCATCAAGGTATACAAATTTCAATTATTTTCAAAATTATGAAAAAGACAAAAATAAAATATCTTATAGTTCTCATAACAAAAAATACACTAGTAATAATAATTCATATATAAATGTTAATTTATCAAATAATAGTTACTGTAGTGATTCTATTATAAATAAAGATTTCTTTAGTTATATTAATAAGCATGGAAACAAAAATATTTTTAATTCATATATTAATAATTTAAGTCAATTATCTCAGTTTAATGATTATTCTATGGATAATAAAAATTTTTTAACAGAAAATAGTAAAAATTTTGACATGTCAATTCCACCAAACAATAATTTTTCAAGTCATAATTTATTATATTATAATAATAGAAGTAAGGATAGAAATTTATCTAATAATTCATTAGATCTAAATAACAAGGAAAGTTACGATAATTCTATTTCAAAAAATTACGACTTTCTTTTTCCATATTTATTTTATTATAAAAATAATCAAAATAATGGTTCTATTCCATATATATATTTTAATGAGAAAAATGAAATACCTACTCAATCAACGACACATAAAAAAGTTAAAAATAATATTTTTAGTAGTTCCCCTATTCAAAATGTTCTATCTCAAGATAGTTCAATGGTTTTTGATGATTTTAAATTAAATTATGATAATACACAACAACTATCTCAAAATACGCAACACACATAAGCATAATTAAATCATTTTCTATATGAAATTTTTATAACATTAGAAAGTTTTCATTAAAAAAAAAAAAATAAAATATCAAAATAAAACTATTTATAATAAAAAATAGATCTATATATATATATATATGTATATTTTTTTTTTTTTTTTTTTTTTTTTTTTTGTATGACACCCTTATTGGTTATATATGCAGTTTAACATGGGAGAAATAAATGAATAAAATAAAAACAATTTGACATAAAAAAGAACTAAAAGAGCAATATAATTAAATATGAAGAATCAGAATAGACAAATCGTTTAATCTAGAAATCTTGAATAAATCTGAAAAATGAAATTTTATAATATTTAAAATAGGAATAATTAGTTAAAAGAAGAAATATAATGAAAATTATTATTTAATGAGTATGTAAATGAATGATATTAAATTATGATAAGGAAAAAAAAGATAATTTAATTCTTATGGGAAAAAATTTTGAAGAAATTTGTTTTAGGGATAATTAAGAATCCTTTGTTATATAATCAGAATGACTCTATGAATACAAGATTGATGAAAAAATAAAATAATTAATTGTACAGAAGGAAAGAAAAAAGAAATAAAAAAAATTAAATAATAAAATAAAAATTTAATAGTATCATTTTCTTAATAAATTCCATTATTATAACCCTTATGTTATAATTATTATTATAAAGATAAATGTTGTTTTTCTAAATAACCAAATTAATTTTTTCATTTTAATTTAAAATGTGAATTAATATATTTTTTTGAAAACAATAGTGTACCATCGAATGCTATTTTTATTTTTGAAAAAGAGAGACTTTTTTGTATTTATAAAGTAATTATAAATTAATTTTTTTAAATAAAATTATTTTGAAAATATAAATACTTTGAGATGAATTTTGTATTAAATATATTAAATATTTTATGAGTGATTTGAAAATTTTTTAATTTTTGAGAACGTATATAGAGAAAGCTGATAAAATTTAATATAATTTATATAAATAAAATAATATTAAATACTTGAATAAACAAAACATATATAATAATTGTAATATATATTAAATATTTATAGAACCTAAAAGTATTTTGATAAAAAGAGTTTAAAATGATAAATCAATTTTTTTTTTTTTTTTTTTTACAAATATATGAAAACTTAGTGAATATACATGTAAGTTGGAAATTATTTGTCTTTATTCATTTTCACAAAGAAAACATTTTTTATTTATTTCTAGCTTTCTTTTTTTCAAGGAATAAATTTAATCTATTTTATATTTTTTTTTTTTTTTTTTTTTTTTTTTTTTTAACTATATTATATAAATTGAAAATATATAGATATATTTAAAAAAGAAATGATACATTTATTTACTTGAAGTCATATATCTTTTATTTTTTCTCTAAGAAAAGGAAATATATCTTTTTTGAGTAACAGAAACAAAGAACATATAAAAAAAAAAATATAAATAAATAAATAATTATAGAAATACGTATATATAATATATTTTAATAAAAATCCTTTAAAAATGAAGAACAAGAAAACAATGACATATAAAAATTTATTATTTATTCTCTAATATATATAAGGTTTTTAGATAATTTTTACGTTTATTTATATAATTTACTTATTTTTTAATATTATTATCATTTTTTTTTTTTTTTTTTTTTTTTTTCTCTTATCTTTGTCATATTTAAAATAGCTTTTCATTTTAATTCTATGTTTTGATTAAAATTTTTCTGAGCTTATGAATGAAGAAAAAATGAACTTTAAAAAAAAAAAAAAAAAGTGCATGCATTTTTGTAACTTAATAATTTTAGACAGAATATTTTTTGTATTAAACAAAATATATATAGAAAAAAACTGTGTATACTAATTTGAAATATTTGATGTAACTTAATTTTAATTTTTTTTTTAAATGAGAATAAACCAATTTTTTCTTTATTTTTTTTTTTTTTCTTTATAATTTTTTCTTTTTTTTTTCTTTAATTATATGTTGTTCTTGGTTTGTTGACATGGATTTTCTTTCGCTTTTTATTTCTTTATAATAATCGTTTTCTTTTTCTTGTTCTCTTTTATGTCTTTATTTTTTTTTTTTAATATTTTTAATTTATAAACTTTAAATGAAAAAAATTACAAAATTACAGTTATTCAAATATTTTATTTAAAATTGCAAGCAATATATATATCCAAATATAACTAGAATTAAATATTCCTTAAAATATTTTGATTTTTGTAAAGTAAAAAATATAATGTTTTACTATGATTAAAAGTATAATAAGAAAAAAAAGGAAAAAAAAAAAGAATTAAAAATTTATATGCTTTAATATTTGTTTAAATATTGTTATAATTATACATTTTATTTTTATTTTTTTCAAGTTAATCCCGAATTAAAAAAAAGATTTCTCACTTTTGAAGAAGCAAAAATGCTTGTTATAAGCACATTAAAAAGAGGTAGGGCGATAGAAATTTTGAATAAAATAATTAATGAAAAATATATATTGAGAAAATTTTTTTGTCATTTAAAAATACAAAATAAATTGAGACTTATAAAAAAAGAATATTTCCCTATTAGTATATGTAAAATTGAAAAAACAATTAAATGTAAATTATCAAAAATATTTAGTGAACTACGTAATTATTCTAAAAATTCAACGTATTTTATAAGTAATTGCAAAAATTTTAAAGATTTTAAGAAAATATATGGAGTATTTAAATTAGAAAAAGCATTAAAATCATACACACATAAATTATTATTTACTTTTATTTCAAAATGCTTAATTCTTAGAGATATAAATTTTTCAAAAACAGATAAAAATGAAATAAGAGAAATAATAAATAATTTTAAATCATTTAAAAAAAATGATATTTTTTTATATAATTTTAATTACAATATTAGAAAAAGTAATACATACTATAAATATATCAATGATAAATTACCAAAAAAAACATCAAATAATAATATAAATTTTAATCATAAAGTTTTTGATTTTTTACTTCATAACAATATAAAAACTAAAAAAAAAGAAAAAAAATATTCATTAGAAAATTTTTATGATGAATATCCTTTAAAACCTTACTATTATGAAGAATTACCTTCTATTAAATTATCTCATAATTTTGATTTATTTATTAAAGATAGTTATCAAAATGATAATGAAAATATTTTGCCTTATATAAAATATCTTTTATACATAAAAGATGAATATAATAATTATGGATTTTTTGAAGAAATATTATAAAAAAAATAATTAGAAATTTTAGAATACTTGTAAGCCTAATAAAGAAAAAAAAAAAAAAAAAGTAACTTTAAGATTGATATATTTTTAAGAAATAATAATAATTATTACTATTTTCATTATAATATTAATTATATATTATTTTTTTAATTTTTTTCTTAAAAATATAAAACAATCATAAAGAAAAAATTCTTCTATAAAATTTTGTCTATTTTCTCATTTGGAGATGATATCCTACTTATGAGACTTATTAATTTAATGAAGCGTAAAATGAATTATTTTTTTATTATGTTAAATTTATATATATTAGTTTTATTAATTATCCATATAAAAAATATTGTATAATTATTTTTTTTTTTTTTTTTTTTTTTTTTTTTTATAAAAATGAACTTTTTCAAGTTTAGGTATTATTAAAACATATTAGTTTTTATATTGATTGGTATTTTTTTAACATATTCAACTTATACTTTATTTCAAATTTTAAAATTAAAAAAAAGTAAGTTAAAAACAAAAAGAAAATAAAAGAAAACGGAAAATGTTAACTTGCAGAACCTTATCATCAAAGTAAAAAAAAAAAAAAAAAAAATATATACATAATAATAAATTTAACACACATATATAAGTACTGTAAGACAATAAAATTATTTGCATACATGGAACTTAAAATGTGTTTAATAAATCTAATAAAAAAAAAAATTAATGTAAATATATAATTATATTAAAGTAATAATGAGATTACTACTAATATATAACAATGAAAATAATCATTTATATAATTTAAAATATAATTAATACTTAAAATTTATTAGATAAATATTGAAATATATATTTTTAGTTGTTATCTTTATGCTTTTTTATAATTAAATATAAATTTTTTATTATTATAACACTTTTTTTTTTGTTCATATTTTTAAATATTTAGTTTTAAAGAAGGTCTAAATTTATTGGTTAATATACTTTTATGTAAACTTATATTTAATATATATTATACTTTCCAAAAAATTAAGGATAATAATAACATAAAAAATTATAAAAATGAAAAAAAAAAAAATTGGAATTTAAAAAATCTTGAAAAATCAAAAAAAAATATTGAGAAATTCATTGATTTATTTTTAATTATATTAAATATTCTAGAAGGAAACAACAAGTTTTTTATACAACATGTTTTAGAAAACTATGCTACTATTAATTTAAATAATGGACAAAAAAAAAAAAAAAATGTAACAAAATTTCATGATATTTTCTTAATGTATTATATATATAACAATTCATTACTACAAAGAAAGAAAAATGAAGATAATAATATAAAAGAATCATATAAAAAAGTAAATTTAGAAAAAAATATTTTAATAGGAGATAAAGAAATTTATTCTTATATGAATAAAATTCCTATAATTGATAATTATATAGATAAATATAAAACATATTCACGAAATAGTCTAATTAACGAATTTAATAATTTTTTAAATGTGTTTTATCTCAAAAAACTTCCTATACATGAGAATGATAATGAAATTAAAAAAAAAAATGAAAATTTAATTGACGAAGATTTTGTTACTAAAAATTTATTTTCTGAATATTTTAATAGTTGTAGAAAAAACAATAAATTGAATATATTAATTAAAGAAGTTAATTTAAATAATTTATCATATTTTCATAATATCCTATTTAAAAATATAAAATTCATCAGGTCCTTTAATAGGGAAAGTAATGAAGAAGAAATCGAAAACTATAAGTTGTCAAAATTATTTGAATTTTAATATTCATTTAAACTATTATTAAAAAGAATTTAAGTTTTACATCATAATATAAAAAAAAAATAAAAATAAAAAAAGTACATTTTTTTTTTTTTTGCAGTTTTTTTTAAATAATGTATGCACATAAAATTTTATTATATACAAAAAGAAACTTTTTTTGCGTTGTCTTTTTTTTTTTTTTTTTTTTTTTTAAATGAAGCTTAATTTTTTTTTGTGTATGTGTTAAATTACTCTTTCTTGAATGTTTAACAATTTTATAAATATAACAATAAAATATTTTATACTTTTTTTTTTTTAATTAATATCATTAAATTTTAGTTAAAATTTTTAAAGAATCTAAAAAAACTTTCTTTAGTATTATAATATTTCCATAAATTTCAAAATGGATAAAAATTTACATGAAAACAAAAATTTAACAAATTATGAAATGCAATTAGTTAAAGCAAAAAAGGTATAAATAAAATAAATATATTTTTCTAATAAATTTTAAATATACATAAATTTTATTATAAATTTTATTATTTATTAAAGGTAGTATCTAAACTTGAAAAATTAGAAATTGATTTTTATACTGAATTAATAAAATTAAATATTTTAAAGTAAAATTACATTAAAAATAATAAAAATATATATATATATATATATTTAATCCTATATTTTATTCATAATAATTAAAAATTTTTTTTTTTTTTTTTTTTTTTTATATAGAAGAAATACAAATATAGATATTTATAAAAAAATCATAAATGAGATATAAATATTTTATAAAGGCTATGGAAAAAAAAAAAAAAAAAAATTTGTACACAAATAAAAAATGAAATTCTATAATTAAATTTTATATTTTAATTAAAAGAAATTATACACAAAATAATTTAACATAATTTTTATTCTAATTCATTTAATTATTTTATTTATTTATTTTTTTTTTTTTAATGAAATAACTAAAAATAAAGATTTAATATTTAATTTTACATTTTCAAAAAATTTATATTGAATAGGTATCTTTTTTTCAAATATTTATTTAAATAAAGTAATTTTTCCGTTATTTTCTTTTATTAATTGTAAAGCTCTTTTATGTCCAACTATTCTTTCTAATTCGTATGTGTGATATTTAGTATAATAACACAAAGAAGAGGAATTAGAATTTTTATTTAAATCTTTAATTAATTCGTAATACATAAAAAGAAATTTGGGTGGAGAAAAAAAAATAATATGATTTGCTCCTTTAAAAGTACATCTTTCATAAAAAATTAAACGACCAGTAATTAATAAAATATTAATTCTTCTAAATTTAAATAATTTCAGAATTTTTATACGTTTTTTTTCACTAGTGTATTCATTAACACCTTTAAAAGTAATATCATTTTTTTTTAATATTTCATACATTCTTATGTATTCTATATATGTTGGTAAAAAGATTATAAGTTGTTTTATACCTGATAGAATATCAATTACATTTGTTGTGAAGAAATCTAATATGTTATCTTCTATTTTTAGAATATTATCACATTCAATTTTCTTAAAATATTGATTTATATTAAAATCTCTTATGTGCATTAAAATATCATCTCCACTTTTTATGAATAATTTTAAATATGTTCTATAATTATTTGCTGATTGAATTAAGGAAATAAAATTTGTATCTAAAAAACTAGAAGATATTATTGTTTGTCTATAATTTTTTAAAAAACCATTTATTATATATTTAGGTATTCTATTAATATTAGCGTTTCCCCATCTTAAAAGTGGTTTATTTATAAAATTTAATACATTTTTCAATATTAAGAAGTTCTGCATTAATATTGTATCTACTTGATCTATTATCAGAATTTCAATAGCTGATAAAAAATCATATTCATATAACTTTTTTTTACTATTATTATTTTTCTTTTTTGGTTTTTGTGATTTTTTATTTTTGTTTTTTTCTGAAATATTCTCATCTAATTCATAATTATCAGAACTTTCATTTTCTATATCAGTTTCCTCTTCCCCTTTACTTTCTTTAATAATAATATCTAAACCAAGAGGAGAACATATTAAGATATCACTATCATAAAATGGACTATATAATTGAATTTTTTTCTCATTTTCTAATAATTTTATTCCACATCTAAAACAATCATCGTTGTTACCTCTATACAAATTTATATAATCAAGAGTTTTTTTTTTTTTCGAATAAATTTCTTTCATTTTTTTTTTTTCGTCTTTTGTAATATCATATTCATTCAAAAATTTATTTTTATTTTTTATCTCAGTAAGTGTTAATAAATTACTAATTAAATCTACATATTCTTTCGTGATATATCTGAAACTACATAAAATCAAAATTTTCGGTCTAGCAAGGCTTTCATCACAAAATTCCTCTTTTATTTCTATATTTTCCTTTTCTATTTGTTCAACTTTTTCTATATTCTCTATTTTTTTATTTATAAATTTTCTTCTTTTCTTTTTTTTTTTTAAATGATTTAAAATATGTATGCTATTTAATAATCTTATAAAATGGCTATTCAAAACATTTTTATTTGCATATAAAATATCTACATACGAATTAATATAATGAAAGTAACTTTTTAATTCTTCATTTTCTATAATGCCAGATACATCACGAAAAAATTCTTTTTTTTTTTTTTTTACTTTTACATTTATTTTTTCTTCCATCATTTCGACATTATCACTCATTTGATTTTCATCTCTATTCTCCTGTTTCACCTTTTCGTTATTCATTATTTTTCTTATTTTAATATTATAATAATCTTCTATATATGTATATATACGATTGTTAAAATAGGAGATGGGATGTTTAAAATTGGAAAGATATCTTTTTAAATTAAAAATTATATTTTTATCAATATTATAAAAATTTTCTTCATCTAAAACACATTTTGGTTGAGTATCTAGAATATTCATCAAATAATAAGTTATATAATTTTTTTCAAAATAATTGCAAAAAAAATGTGGCCTAATTTCAATATTACTGAAAAATTGTTTGCTATACTCGTTTTCACTATTTTCTTTTTTTTTAAAAATATTAGTTTCTAAAAATAAATTAGAAGATACATAAACATCTTCAATGCTCTTGTTTTTATTCTTATGTTCTTCATCATTTTTTGTTACTTTATTTAACTTTTTTTTATAAAATTCTTCAATAAATCTCTCATCTATATTTTGACAGAAGGTAAAATAATAATCCATTTTATTTTCAAATATTTTATATGTTTCATTATTATAATTGTTATAAATACTATTGACATTATAAGTATTACAATAAGAATTAATAATGTAACTATTTATATTGTTAACATTATTTCTAATTTTATTACTAATGTTATTTCCATTGTCAATTGAACTTTTAAGGAAATTTATACCACATTTGATACTGCTTCTATCAAGATTCTCATTATCATTATTGAAAATATTAATGTTGTTATTCTCATTATATACTATTTTATCAATGTTATGAACTTTATTATTGTTAATATCTTCATTACTTATTTTTAAATAATTATTCTGATTTTTAATATTTTTTATTAAAGAGAACATATATATTTCATCACTATTTTTTAAGATATTATCCTTTGAATTTTCATTTTCATTTTGTTCTCGTTCTATTTTTTCTTGAGTACTTTCTTTTTCAATTTTTTCATCTTTATTACTAAATCCTGAACTATCATCTGAAGAAACACAACATCCCATATTATTTATTTCATTACTTAAATTATAATTTAAAATTTCTTTTTTTTTAAGTTTCAAAATTTTTAAAAATTCTTCATATGTTTTTTTTTTTTTTTCTTCTGGGACTTCACATTTCTGTAGTTTTTCAGATTCCTTTAATTTCTCATATTCTCTCAATAATATTCCTTTGACTTTATTTTCTTTTTTGTCATTAATGTTTATTTGATTTATTAAATCATTTTCTTTTTTGTTATAAAAATTTAATTTTTTTAATTTTTTCTCTTCCTTTTTTACAAATTCCAATTCATATAATTCATTTAATGTTGATATTTTTTTACATTTTCGTTTGTTTCTTCTCATTATACAATTTACTTAAAAAAAACAAAACAAAAACAATTTATTATATTTTTTTTTATGCTTTAAAATCGTTAATTAAAAAAAAAAAAAAAAAGTTAAATATATTAAACAAATACTTTTTATTTTTATGACTATTGAGTTTATTCTCTTATAAAATTTTTTAATATAAAAAAAAAAAAATAAGAATGTATAACATTTATATTTATTTATTTTAATGTATTTTTATTTTATTTTGTTTCTTCTTCATGTTTCTTCTTCATATTAAATTCTTTATAATATACTTTTAAAAATAAAAAAATCTTTAAATTTTATTTTTTTTTAATTCTCTACAACATGTTGACAAAAAAAAAAAAAAAAAAATATTTATATTGAATATATTTTTACGTTGTAAATTTATATCTCTTAAAAAATTTTTTGGAAGATAATGAAACAATGTAATAATAATATTATCATAAATAAATCTATTTTTTTAAGATGAGTTAAAAATTAAAGATTTAATAGTGTTAGGATTAATTTTTTAAATACTATAACAAAAAAAAAAAAAAAAAAATTTATCAAATTGAAAATTATGAAATATTTTCTTTTATTTATTTTATATTTTAAGATTTTATTAATAATAAAAATTAAGGAAAAAATTCTTTTTTGCTATTCTCTTTCTTATAAGAAAATAAAAAATGATTCATTTAATAACTTGAAAGAAATAAAGTTATATATTTATATAAAAAGAAAACCTAAAGATTATTTATATGTTAAAAATTACACTAAAAATGAATATAAACAGAAAGCAAATAATATAATACAAGTGAATCTAAATAAATTAGAATATTTAAAAAACGACTCAAAGAATTCAATAAAAAGAGAGTTAAATGAATATAAAAATGATGTAAATAATGATAACATAAATAATGATAACATAAATAATGATAACATAAATTATGATAACATAAATAATGATAACATAAATAATGATAATATAAATAATGATAACATAAATAATGATAACATAAATAATGATATCATAAACAATGAACATTCAAATAATAATGAAATAAATGATATATTAGATTATCTAAAAAAATCAAATAAAAATAAAAAATGCCTTTTTATGAGCACACCACTATATTATGGAAATGATAAACCTCATATAGGACATGCGTATTGTAATATATTAGGAGATGTAATAAATAGATTTGAAAAATTGTTAAATGGTAATAAAAAAAATATAATTTTTTTTTCAGGAATGGATGAACATGGTTTAAAAATAGAACTAAAATCAAAGAAAATGAATATAAATAATAATGAACATATTGATAATATTTGCAAGTATTACAGAAAAATGAATATGAATTTAGATGTAAAGGTGAATTTATTTTACCGAACTTCTAATAAATTTCATAAATCCTTTGTTCAAAATATATGGCGTTATTTATTATATAACAATTATATATATAAAGATGTTTATAAAGGATATTATGATATAAATGAAGAAAGATATTTAAGTGAATTAGAGTTAAAAGAAAAAAAAAATAAAGAAAATGTAATATATATTGAAGAAGAAAATAGTTATTTTTTTAACATATTAAAATTTCAAGAATTCTTAATTAATTTTTATGAAACAAATGAAGATTACATATTTCCAAATTATTTACAAAAAGAAATAATTTATTTTTTAAAAAATGATTTAAAAAATATTTGCATAAGTAGATATAATACAGAATGGGGAATAAAAATACCAGGAGAAGAAAAAGGAACAATATATGTGTGGTTTGATGCATTATTATCATATATATCATCCATATTGTATATAATTAAAAAAAATAACTTAGAAAATGAACAAAAAAAAAAAAAAAAATCCAAAACTCCTCTTAATTTATATACGGATAATTTAACTTCTAATAATTTGAAAACAAATGATATCTTTTGTTCGTATGAAGATATTTTAAATTTGGCTAACATTAATAATAATAAAGGTAACAATATTAATATTCATAATATTGTGAGTGAAAATAATAATAATAACAATAATAATAATAATTTTTTTAAATTATTTGAAAAAGCATGGAACCCTTTTATTCAAATAATAGGAAAAGATATATTAAAATTTCATGGAATTCTTTATATATGTTTATTAAAAAGTTTAAATTTAAAATTTCCTGAAAAAATATTGTGCCATGGTTTAATAAAAAATAAAAATATAAAAATGTCAAAAAGTTTAAATAATATTGTATGCCCTTTTACTTTATTAGAAAAATATAATTCTGATGTAATACGAATATATTTTCTTGGTTGTTCAAATATTTATGAAGATAAAAATTTTAAAGAAGAAAATTTACAAACTTTTGAATTGTTTCTTCGTAATAATATAGGAAATTTACTATATAGATTATTATCCTTATGTCTTGCAAATAATTATAAAATAATTGAAGAAATAAAATTAGATGATTATAATAATTCTTCAATTTTAAATGAGTGTAGAGATATAAGAAAAAAATTAATTAAATTCATAAAAAATATGGAATTTCCCCTTTTTTTAGAAAATATAATGATATTAATAAAAAATATTAATAAATTTTTTGTTCACAAAAGACCATGGAATTATGTAAATAATTCTTATCAATTCAATTTAATAATATATGAAACATTAGAAAGCATCAAATTTTTTTCTATTTTTATGTATCCAATTATACCTCAAATTTCACTCACTATTTTAAAGAATATAGGTTTAAAAAATATAAACGAAAACAATATTTCTATAGATATGCTTGAAAAAAAAACAGAAAATTTTGTATTAAAAAAATTAATTAAAATTATTTGAAATTATTTGAAATTATTTGAAATTTTTTTTTTTTTTTTTTTTTTTTTTTTTTTTTTTTTTTGTTTGAATGAATGTATGTATATAAATATATTATTTATATTAATATTTTTATTCATTTATAATTTTTTTAATATATTTCATCTCTTTTATGTGTTAACATATAACAATTTTGGAATATTTAATTATATATACTAATTTTTTTTTGTAAAATTTTTTTTTTTTTTCTTTAATAATTTTTAATTTTTGGTTTATTTTTAGATAAATATAAATATTTTGGTATACGAGAATAATACAAATATGGAAATTTTTTTGTATAAGGTCTAATCCTCCACCTATCTTTACCAGATGTGTTTTTTCTAAACCATGGATGTTTTTTAGAATACCACTTTTTAAATTTTAATTTTCTAGAATTTTTATTAAGATATTCTTCATATTCTAATGATGATTCTTTTATATTATAATTAAAAGTTTTCGTAACAGGTCTGTCATACGGAGCTTCAATTTCTCTTTCTTCAAAGCTTTCAGGTAATTTTCTTTTTAATAATATTCTTCTATAAAACCACGTCCTATCCGTTTTTAGCGAATCATGAAATAATAATAATTCATCAATAAATTTAACATCAACATTGCATGATTGAGCTAAGTATTTCTTACTTTCGTTATGAAAAATTTTATAATCATCTGAATCCAATTCATATGGCAAAAAGGAGTTTAATACTTCATACTGCTTTTTTAATTTTTCTAATTGAGGATTTATTTTTTTTTTATATTTGTATCGAATACTAAAAAGATTAAAATAATCACATAAATCTTTTAGAAATAATTGAAATTTTCTGTAAGTAAAAATTCCTTCATATTTCATTAGACATTTCATATAATGTTCAAAAAATTTTTTTTCTTGTTTTTCATTATCATTCATTTTCAATTTATCTTTTATATTAGTTCTTTTAAAGATATCAATAAAATTTTTAAATATACTAGTATCTCCACTTTTAAATGTACTAGAGGGGTCTTTTTCATAATTTAATTTCATTTTCATATTTTTTAAATTCTCTTGGTTGAAAGATTGACCAATCTTTGTTAGCAAAGATGTGCCACCATATTTTTTTTCTATCTTTAAAATATTATAATTTTTTAACTTTATGAAAACTTTCTGCATTTTCTTTTTTTTTTTTACTCTTTAAGTTTTAGTTAAAATTAGGAATAGCAGACACATATATATAAGTAATGTATTATTTGTAATATTTACCATTTACTTAAATATTTCATCTATATTTTGTAATTAATATTATATTTATTTTGGTTACTCATTTATCTCTTTATTTTTTAATATTTATATAAATGTATTTTACTTTTTTATAATTACTAAAAAAAAAAAAAAAAAAAAAAAAAAAGCTACTTATTTGCCATTTATATTTTCCATAATTTTTAAAATAAAAATTTCAATAAAGATATGAAAAAAAAAAAAAAAAAAAAAAAATGGTTTCTTTTAAAAATAGATGTAAATATACAAACATAAGAAAAAAGTATAAAATACCTTAATTCACATATTAAAAAAAAAAAAAAAAAAATACGCACATTATAATGAAAAAAATACCAACATTCTATTAAAACCTTTTATTATTTATATTAAAACAAAAGCAACATAATTTTTATTATCTCATTAAATGTCTTAAAAAAAAGAAAAAAAAAAAAAATTAAAAGTTTATAAAAATATTTAATAATTAAAAAAAAATATTTTAATAATATGTACAATTTGAAAACTAAAAAAAAAAAAAAAAAAATTAAACAAGTTTAAAATTTCAAAAATGAAATAAATGAATATTAATATATATAAAAAAAATTAAAGTAAAAATAATTTAAAAATAAAATAAGAAAAAAATTAATAAAAAAGAAACAAAAGTTAATATAATTAGAAAAAGATTACTATAAAAACATTTCGAAAAAAGGTGTATTATAATGGCATATTATTTTTAACATAATAAAAAAAAAAACTAAATATAAAATATTCAGGTATTAACTTAAAAGAATGCATTAAAAATCCTTTGTAACTATTTGAAATTTTATTTAAAATATGTTTTGTTTTTTTGTGATTTAGATAATTATAATGCATTAAAGATTTGGGGAATTTCTTTTCATATAAATTGTAGTATTGATATTTTTTTCTGATCGTTTCTAATGGATAAGTTACTATTTGTGCTGTATAACCTGTTAAAACTCCTAAAAAAATATAATAAAAAAAACTAGGAGATTTATTAAATAATTTTTTATATTCTTCATTTATATGATTTCTTTTTTCACTATTTGATAATTCATCATTGTTTCTATTCATATGAAATTCAATAAAATATTTTGTAAATAAATCATTCAACTTTGTTGATATCAGTAAATATGGAATAAAATTAAGTAGACATAAGCTGAAACCACAATATAAATTTTTAATATCTACGAAAAAGAAAAAATAAAATTAAAATTAATAAATTTTAAAAATTAAATGAAGATATATATGAGATATATTTATATTTGTTAAAATTAGTAACATAATATAATTCATTAAGAAAAAATACAGTATATATGTTAAACTAAAATATGTCATACTCGTTAGGATAAAGTAGTTAAAGAAAAAATGTTTTATATATATATATATATATATGTATATTGTTTTTATTTTACTTACCTTTTTTTAATAGTTGATCATATATAAAAAAAAAAACACTTCTATTGTATAATTTTTTATTTTTTATTTTTTCATGATTCAATGTCATATAAGTATGAGCTACATCTAACGGATATGTAATTGATATAGCTAAACAACTTGATGCATATAATAAAAAAAAATTCTTTACAAAGTCATTTTTACTATTTTCTAATGATAGAATATATTTTATTTTATCATGAAATAATAATCTAAAAAAACTAAATGATAAAAAATTCAAAACATTTGCATTATATCCCCACCAAAAAGATGTCAAACCTTGATTTATATAAATACCTAAATTAATGAAAAACAATTATATGTATAATTGAAAAGTGATACGAAAAGATAAGTTATATTGTAAATAAAAAATAATTATGAAAAATATAAATATATAATATTTTTTTTTCTTTCACTTTTTATTATATTTTTGTAAGTATAAGACGATTGAACTAAAACATTTCTAAATAACACTGGTTGTGTTTGTTTAATAATTACAAGTCTCTCCAAAGGTGAAATAATAAGTTTAGAAATTAAATTTGATCCCCCATGAGTTAAGAATGTTGTTATATATAATTCTTTATATCTTATTTTTTTTTTTTTTTTTAAATAATAATTTTCCATAAGAACTAGAATATGTATAAATACTACACTTTTTATATTAAAAAAATATTGATAAATAAAAAAAACATATTAAATACTTTTTATTAAAAAAAGAAATAATAAATCATTTTCTGAAATGTTCATATGTTTCCAATATTCATTTCATAATATTTTTTTCTTTAAAAAATAATTAAGCATTTTTAAATTTAAAAAAAAAAAAAAAAAAATTACACATACATATATATATATATATATAATATGCTAAAATATAGGAAATAAGTTTACTATAAATTATTGTATTATAATCTATAGTCTTATTTAAAAATAAATTCATTTTTTTCTTTTTTTTTTTTTTTTTTTTTATTGATTTCATGGTTTAAATTCGTCTCATTTTTTTTAAAATAGAATATATATATATATATATATATATATATAATTTTTATTCCTAATTTTTTTTTAAAAGAAAAAACCAATTTACTATATATAATTAAATTTTTATCTTATTTATATTTTAATTTAGATTATTTAATTACAAATGAAGTTTTTTTATATGTCAATCATTGAATGTTATATATACCTTTATTTATTTTTTTTTTTTTTTTTTAAGTATTTTAATATGATTGTATAATGATGGGAAGTGAAGTGAGTTTTAAAAAAAAAATATTTGGGAATGAATTTTCCAAAAAAAAAAAGGCAAATAAGAAAATTATTTTAGTAAATATGATATATTTGATGATTCTTTTTTTAATTTGTTTTTTAGGAGGTTAAAAGAAAAAAAAAAAAATAAGTGTATATATATTTATATATATATATATTAATTTGTATTTATATTTGAAATTTTTTAGGAATATTACTAGGGTTTTTAACTACATCTTACACACCTGCAATACATATAATTGAAAATGATAAAAACGTATTTCATTTTTTATCAAAAGATAATAAAATTATTATAGGAGGAAAATTAGATATAAAATTAAATCTTCGTAATAATACTATTTTATCATACATATTTTATTCAGAAAATGTAAAATATTTCTATTATCCTATAGGAATAAATTATAGCTGTTTGTTATATAACGGAGGTTGAATAAAATAATATATATAATAAATTCTAATTTTTTTAAGTATTTTATTAAAAGTATAATTTTAATATACCAAATTATTTTATCCTTTTATATATTTGTTAGGATTACAAAAATCCTCTAATCAAATTCCTTTAAGTTATAAAAGTGAAATTGGGATTCCTTTAAATAATAACGAAGATATCTTTGCAACTAAATTATCTGTATAAATATATATATAAAAAAAAAAAAAAAAATCAAAAAAAAACAAATATTATTTTAATTTGATATATATATATATATTTTTTCTTTTTTTAAAAGATTAAAATAAAATACACTTTATTGGAATTATCATCAGTAATATATACCATTCCTTTACATCTTGGTTATGAAATTACAGATGAATATAAACAAGAAATACAACCATTATATAATGATTGTAAAAATTTTAATAGAATTTATTTTTCTATAAGATTAGATCAATTACATACCTTAAATAAAATAAGAAAAGTATATAGTGATAAAAAATATGAACTAATATTTTATTGTAATTGTTATATAGATAATAAGGTAGATTCCTTTTTTAATTCTTCACCAGTTAATAAAAAAATTATTTTGAATAATTTAATAAATAATCCTAATTTATTATAGATTAAATCTATTTTTTTTTTTTTTTTTTTGTTATTTTTTTTAGTTTTTGATAAAAATATTTATTTTTCTTTTTTTATGATATATTTTTGTTTTTCCTAACAGTCTTATTCATAATTTCATTTTTAAACATTTATATCTTTCATTTTAAAGAAAAATGTACAAATGACTTTTAAATTTTAAATTATAATAATTTTAATTTGGAGATGAAGTTTTTAATATAAAATTAAATATTAGATTAACTTAACAACAAAATTACAAATTTAATTTTTTAAAAAAAACAAAAATAATAATAGTTTGAATTTATTATAACTCTAAAAAATATGTATATTAATTTGAAAAAAAAAAAAAAAAAAAAAATCTTCAAAAGAATATAAAATATAATCAATCTAATATTATATATATATTAAATATAAATCTATTTTAGGAAATATATAGAAATAGTTACTTTTATATTTATTAATATAAATATTTTAGTTCTTTTTCATTGTTAACAAAATGTAAAATATCATCTAAAAACAATATATATGGTAAAACATATTTTGAAAATATGTCTCTTTTAACAATCTCAAAAGGTCTATAAAAGGTAAATTTATAATAATAGGAAATATATATAAAAAAAAAAAAAAAATAAAGTTAATTATTAAAATGAAATACATTTATTTATATATACACACCTGATAATAAATAATATACACATGAAAATTAAAACTATCAGAGAGATGTTAATTTTTAGACCTATTAAAGGAACACTTATATAAACCCAAAATATTATATTTATTAAGGATATCCATATAATATATATAAACCACATACTTTTTAATCTGTGCATTACTAAAAAATAAAATATTGGGACAAATAATATAAATTCAGCTTCATAAAATATACTATATCTATAAAAAAGAAATTTATAAGGATACATAAAAAATAGTAAAATAATTATTAATAGATACAATAATAAAAAAAAAAAAAAAAAAAAAAATTCAAATAATAATTAAATAGAATTTTATACTCATATGCTTTTTGTAATTTAAGCAAAGAATTTTTCTCTAAATTCCATGAATTTTTATGGACTAAAAATATTGTCCATAAATAATCTAAAATTGACAATAATAAACTAGAAAAGAAAAAAAAATATATATATATATATATACTTTATTATTTTCTTATAATTAATTTATTATTTTTATTATAAAAAAAATTTTATTATTTTTTTTTTTTTTACATAAAAATTGATAATATAAAAAAACACATTTTTATTTTGAAAATATTTTGTGGGTTTACAGATATGGTTCTTATTATTGGTGAAATGACAATTGCAATAATTACAAGAGATAGTAAAAATCTTGAGATAAATATTATTAAAAAACTATTAATTTTAAACTGAGAAATTAGATATATGATAGAAAAAAAAAAAAAAAAAAGATTAAAAATAAGAATAATATAGTGTTACATTAAATATATATATATATATATAATATCACTAATTATTAAAATTAATAAAATAAAAACTATTATTTCATTATTTTTTATTTTTTACGAGGAAATATGAATGGCTCATATGTATTGGGGCTATTCTTATAAAAATGCAAAAAATGTGAAAAATCAGAATTAAGAAAATATGATAAATATAATTTTGTACATAATATACTAAATCAAAAGAATTTGACCATAATAAATAATATCTCTCAACTTTTTGATCAAGAAAAGATAAAAGATTATCTTTATGAGGTGAAACTCCTGATTTGAAATTAGCACTTTGAACAACATAATTAATTTTTTCTATATATCTTAATATTAATTGAATTTTATTAATAAATAGGTAAAATATACAAGAAAAATTTATAAGAACTATTTTTCCTTCAGATATATCACTATAATAAGAACTAAAAGATGTAGATTTATATTGCTCCGAATTATTAAAATATATTTGCTTATTTTTTTTTGAATTATTTCCATTATGTGATTTGTAATATATTTTTGTTGTATTATATATATACTTTTTATTATTTTGTTCATTTAAATTAATTTCTTTTTTATTATCCAATACAAAAAAACTTTTTATACTATTTTGTGTATATTTATTTTGTTTAGAAGTAATAGAAGAAAAATCATTATTATCATTGTTACTGTTTTTTAATACATTTTTCTTATTAGTTATGTTATTCCTTTTATTAATTTCTTCATCTATTTTATTATCATAGAACATTTGTCCACCATGCTCTTCTAGATTTTTAAACCTTTTTTTTAAAACATTTCTTTTAATATTAATATTATCATTATTTTTTATCTTTTCTATATTATAACTTTTTTTTTTATTTTTTTTCTTAATGTTATTAATATTTTCTAGTGAAAACATATTTTTCTGATCATTTAAATTTTGTTCATCCTCTTTTAATTTTGCACTATCTATACTATTTCCTTTCTTTGATAAAATGCTAACATATTTAGACTCAAAAAAATGTCCATCTGATTTTAAATTATTAAAATATTTTTTTATTTTTCCTCTTTCTACACTCAATGTGTTAATATAATTATTTCTTAGTTTTGAAGTTTTTTTTTTATGTCTAAATAAATCAACGTCTTTTTTTTTTTTTTTTTCTGCATTTACTTTTTCTTTTATAATAACTTCTGAAGAATATTCTCTTAATTTTGTAGAATGAATTTTATAAAATTCCCAACTTTTATATCTAAAGTTTGCTAAAATTTTTCTTTTTTTTTTTTTTTCTTTTTTATTCTTCCTTTTTTTATCTTTTTTGTTTCTATTATGTTCTTCTTTTTGTTTTACTTTACAATTATAATTAATTTTACACTCAAAAAAATCCTTAATTTCATTGTTGTTTGAAATAAAGTTATAATATTTTTTATGTGATTTAAATGATTCCTTTTCTTTTTTATCGTTTTTTTTTTGTAAGTTGTCTGTTTTATTTACATCCAATTTTTTTTTGTTATCTTTTTTCTTTTTTTTGATACTTTTCTTTTCAAAATTTCTTTTTTCTTTTTTAGTAATTTTTGTATCATCGGATTTTTTATCCAATTTCTTATCTTTTGAATCTTTTTCATTTTTGTTTTCAAAAGTACAAAAATTTCTTTGAAGTTTTATAATTTCAATTAAAAAATAAAGATTTTTTTTATTTGAGTTGGGGTATAATCTCATAATTTTTTTTCTCTTTTTTTCGATAGCCAAACTAACTAAATATAATTTTTTGTGATACAACACTTTAAGGCAATAATATGGAGGATAATTAAGAAACATTTTTTGATTTCTTAATGTATATAATTTATTTGACAATCTAGAAGAAACAATATTTAGATTTTGAATTTCTGTTTGGTTTTTTAAATTAATTTTTGGTATATTATTACAAAATAAATTCCACTTTATATTAATATAATTATTTAAGTCTAAAAGAATATCAGCTAATTTTAGGAAACATATTTCTTGATATTCATTTATATAAGGAAAAATTAGTATCATTTTTTTTGGTTGGGAAGAGGAAATGGCAATTGTTTTAGAAAAATAATATAAATATCTGTAAAATATAATACTAATGAAAAAAGTGCATGATAAAAATATTAGCATGTAAAAATCCATTGTAGTTGAACTTATAGAAATTTCTATAATAAATATTATAATTATTAAAAAAATATCTAAAATAAATAAAACTCTTAAATGATACTTTGTAAAATATAATATTATACTCAAATAAAAAAAAATAATACTATTAAAACTTCCGTTTAATTTTAATAATAAAAATGGACAAATGCAAGATAAAGTGAGTAGCAGAAAAAAAAATGAATCCGATACAATACACATTTTTAAAAATTTCTGCATAGAATAACATAATAAACTTATAATAAATATAACTCCTTGTAAATTCCTAGTTATATCTCCTTTCTTTTTATTTCTAGTTAACCCACCTAAAATAAATAAAAAAACATTCAGTAAACATAATCCGGCTGTTACATCGATGGAATCTAAAATGAAAATATGTTTAAATTCCTCTCTTGTTATAAAAGTTTTTCTTAAAAAAAAAAAAAAATGATTATTAATATTTCTATACTTGATGTAACATTATGCTTTACTTATTATTTTTTTCTTTTTCCTATTCCACGTAAAAATTTTTTTTTATATTATCATTAACTTTAGATTTTTAATAGACTTTTACTTTTTTATACATTTTTATATATATTTTTTTTTCTACTTCATTTTTTCTTTTTTTTTTTTTTTTTTGAATACCTTGTTTTAATATCCATTTCCATCATCAATGATTTTCTTTTCCCAGAAGATAAATTAGAATAATGTTCTTTCGTAAAATATTTCAACATTTTTACAAATTCATTAAGTGAATAAATTTATTTTTTTTAAAAATTGTCTCATTTGAATTCACAAAATAAACATTTTATTTTAGTAAAAAAAAAATAATAATGAAGACATGTTTTATCTCATGGAAAATTTTTATACATTTTTATTTGTTTTATTTGTAAAAAAAAAAAAAAAAACAAGTAATTTTCATATTGTATATAGATATTATTTATATTTAAATTTACTTAATATATAAAAGTTGTCTTTTTTTTTTTTTTTTTATTAGAAAATAAGTAAAATTTAAAGAATATATATATATATATACTCTTAATACTATAAAAATTGATGGCTTTTTTTTTGGCTATATTCCTTATATAATTGTTCTAGTTGAAATTTTTTTTTTCTTTTTTTTTTAATTATTTTTATAAAATTTTAAAGATATTAATGTTATCTATAATTTATATATAGTTATTAATCATTATAACCCGCTTAAAGTTAGCTTATAGGATTTTATTAAAGTATATATATATATATATATTTAAATTTAACTTATAAATTGAAAAAAAAGAATTTTCATACCACCTATTTTAAAAAAAAATATCTTTTAATTAAAAATTAGAACATAATAGTATTATTTTTTTAATTGGAAATGTAAAATATTCTCTAAGGTGTATAATAAAATAGAAAAAAATTAGATCATTAATGTTGTTCAATATGAATAATTAAGTGAATTTTCAAATTTTTTTTTGTTATATTTTTAAGTAGCCCAAAAAAAAAAAAAAAAAAAATTTATTAAAATATTAATAAAAAGAAATGTATAATAAACTGTAATTCAAAAAAAAAAAAAAAAAAAATAAAAAAAGAACATAGGAAGTTAAATGAGATCATTTGAAAATAATATAATAAATATTAAGATTATTGTAGAAAATATATATATATATATATATATATATATATATATATTTATATAAAAGGTACTGCTCATATTTTGTAAATTTAAATAATGTGTAAAAAGGTGCAATATAAGAAAAAAAAAAAAAAAAAAAAAAAAAAATAAGAAAAAGCCTTAAATAAATATGTAATTTATCAAAAAATTGAGTTTTTTTGTTATCAATTTTTCTTTTATTATTAAGAATAAAAATTTCTTTAATCAAACATATGTATAATTATAATAAATTTTCAAAAGAACAAAAAAAAATAAAAATATATTTATTCTTGTTTGAACATTTTTATAAGCTATTGATAACAATATATAGAATAAGAGACTGAAAATATAATTTTATTGTATACAATTTTATTTGAATACTTGAATATTTTTTCAATACATTTTCCTACAATTTTTAATATCTTTTTATTTTTTTTTAAACATTAAAAGATATAAATTATTTCTTTTAAAATTTTTCAATATTAGAAAGAATAATTTTTACACACAAAAAACTAAAAAAATTGAGCACCTAGTTTTTTATATTTAATGTATTTTTGCTATTTGCATAATGCACAAAGCATATGCTTATAATAAAATTAATAAAATTATAATCAACTAGGAAAAAATAAAAATAATTATTCTTTATAAGAATTTAAAGAAGTTATATATTTTTGTTAAAAAAAAGAAAAAAAAAAAAAAAAAAACTATAAATACTGGACAAATAATTTTTAAAATATATATTAAAAATATTTTTAATTTTATATATATATGCCTAAATATATACGCAAAAGTATTTTAATGCACATTTAACTTTTTATTTGCGTGCATAATTTATGAAAAATTTTAATTTTTTTTTTAAATGCTATTTATGAATTTATAATTTTTTCAGACTTTATTAATAAATATACAAAAAAAAAAAAAAAAAAAAAAATATATATATATATATATATATATTTATATATATATATATATTTATATATATAGAAAATTTAAAGTAATAAATTATGAAAATTTTTTTATATTTGTTAAAAAAATAAAAAAATGTCAACAATTGAAGAATTAAAATTTATATGGAATTTTTTATTTTCTGATATCACTTCACCAAAAAATAATAAAGAAATAGAAGATGAAAAAAATTATGAAGAAAATATAAATTTACTAAAAAAATTAATGAAAACAGAAAATATAAAATTTGAACAAAAATATAATGCAATAAATATATTAGATAAATTAAAGGAGGTCGAGGATGTTAGATATGAAGACATTTTCAACGAATATGCAAAAAATTTTTTAAAATTTTTAAAAGAATCATTTGAAAATGTAGCAGAAGAAATTCAGATAAATGATAAAATATCGTTTAGAAGAAATGAATTAATAAAACAAGATTTAAATAACAAATTACAAAATTTAAATAACAACTATAATTTAGAATATATTAATTTAAATAAATGCTTAGGAACAGAAGATTTTGAAAATCAATTAAATGCAAGTTTAAAATTTAACTCATTGAAAGATATCTTAAGTAAATTATTAATAGAAATGAAAGAATATGAAAATCAGTATTACAATTTATCTGAAACAGATAAGTTTTTAGATATGAAAATTTTTGAACTTGAAAGTTATTTAAATAAAAATGATGAAAATTCATAAATTAATTTATTTCATCATAATAATTCTAAAATAATATTATGAAGATGAGAAATTATATATATATACATATATATATATATAACCTGTTAAACACATGAAATTCTTAGAAGAGAGGTTTAGTAAGTTTATGAATTAAAAATTCATAGGAAATATGTATTTTTGTACATACGTTTATATATGCGTATGTAAAAAATTTTAATCTTTTTTTTTTTTTTTTTTTTTGTTTTTAATATAAATATTTGAAAAGAAAAAGCTTATTTTTACTTATTTTAATAATAAAAAAGTTATAAATTTTGTGCTACTTTATGTTTCATATAAATTGTTTTTTTTTTGGTAAATAATGAAAATTTTACTAAATTACAAAATCAAGCCTTATATACAGTGAAATCATTACGTTATATTTACTAATTTTTTTTTATAAGTATATTGGAAATTTGAAATATAATATGAAAAGGAAAAAATTTAGTTAGAGGAATAATATTATTAACTTTATAATATTTAAAAAGAGGAAATTAAGAATTGAGATAAATACATGAATTTTTTTATATATTTAAAAATTATTAATATATATACATATATTTATATATATATATATAGAGTGGTACGATTATAAAAAATAAAAATTCAAGAGGATTGAAAAGACACAAAAAATTTTGTGATTCCTTTATTATATTAATTTATAAAAAATATAATTTTTAGATTTTTTTTCTTTACATATTAATTTTTTTTTTTTTTTTTTTTTATATAAAAAAAAAAATATATATCATTTCATTTTAAAAAAGAAATGTGGACACATTATTTATATTTTTTTATAATTATTTAACCAAAAGTATATTAAAATTAAGAAAAAATAATTTTTTTATATATTGAGAACAAATATTATACAAAAAGAAAATATATAAATAAGCTGTAAATATTAATATAGGAAGGATTTATTTATATGTATAACTAAATATCAAAAAAAAAAAAAAGGAAAAAAAAAAAAGGAGAAAAAAGGATCTAATATATTGTAAAAGATTTATACATTTTTGTTTTTTTATCTAAATACACAAGAATTACAAATGAAGGATATATAATAATAAGCTTAGGGAAAAAAAAGAAAAATAATAAGTGTAGGAAAGAGGAGAGTGCAATGTTAGTTATACTTTAATTTTTCAATGATTATAAAAAGTAACTTTTATATATTATGAATATGCATAGATTAGATATTTTTCAAAAATAAATTAGAGAAAAAGGAATAATTGTGGCTTTTTTTTTTTTTTTTTTTTTTGGGGGGGAATTATTTATAATAAAAAGGTGTTAATATATTGCATATATATATGTGTATATATATGTGTATCTATATATATATATATATAAATATATATATAACTTTTTTTTTTTTATATTTTCTTAATGAATGTAAGAAATTTTGGGAAATATAAAAATGATATACAAAAGTATTAAGATATCTCATGGATATATTTTTTTATCCATATCTATATATATGCGGATATAAAATTCATATAATATATTAATAGTATGCATATGTAGATATATGCTTATAAACACAAATTTATATTAGATTTACAATAGAAAAAAATAAATTCTTAATTATATAAGCGATACTTTCAATAAAGCATTTTTTTTTGAAATACCTTTATATATATCTAAATTGAAATGTGATATTTTTAAGAAAATAATTTCAAATACACTCGGTCATTTTAATTTTTTAATTCTATTTTTTAAAGTGCAATTTAAAAAAAAAAAAAAAATTACCATTTCATGAAGAAATTAACTTAAAATAGGCTTCTATATACGTGTGCTTGAGTTATTTAAAATTTTTGTTTTTAAATATTTGCAACATAAAAATAATTAGAAATAATAATTAGTGATAACAATAAGTTTTTTTGTTACATTAAAAATAAAGTTAGTGTAGAGATATTCTTAAATGGTGTTTATTTATTGTGGCTTTTTTAGATCTATTTTACATAACGATTTAAATTATTTTTGCTTTTATTTTATTTATTCTATAAATAATATTTATTTTTTCTAGTCAATATACACATTTTTAATTTACAAGTAAGATTTTTCTTATTTTTTACAAAATATTGGAGACGAAAAAAAAAAAAAAAAAAAATTATACTAAATATATTTATAATGATTTTATTAAAGTTAGAATTATACTTAAATTTCGATACCATCTAAAATGAAAACAGTTAAAAAAAAGTTTAAAATAAAAATTTATATATAAAAACAAAAAAAAAATATATTTTTTTTTATAACATATTAAATCAAAATCCTACAAATAACAGGTGCTAAAAAAGCACAGGAATTATATGAAAACTTGTAAAATAGATTATGATATTATTATTTAAAAAAATGAAGGATTTCTAGGAACTATAAAAAAAAAATTATTTTTCTATTTACGGTATTTTAAATGTTTATTAAAAACAAATTACTACATTTACCTTACAGTTTTAAATAAAAATTATTTTAAATAATAAAGATCAAAAAAAAAAAAAAAAAGTACATATAAAGAATATAAAATAAATATATAAACTAGAAAAATAATTTATAATAAAAATATCTTTTTTTATGTAAAAAAAAAAAAAATTTAAATATGAAATATCACAAAAAATTTATAAGATAGAAAATTTGAGTTTAAATTATATCATGAATACTTCGCACGCTAAGTAATCATTTATGTATTTTTTTTTTTTTTTTTTTTTTTTTTTTTTATTGTATTAATTTTTATTATATATATATATATATATATTTTATGAAAGAAATTAATTTTTTAATTATGAAATAAATTCAAAAAAAAAAAAAAAAAAAATATAAAATAAAACAGAGAATTTATATATGTATACATACATATGTGAGTATGTTTAAGAAAAATTTATATTTCATTATATTTTATTTTCTATATATATGTTTAATATTTAATTAAAATTTTTATAAAAAGGAGAAATACATTATTATGAATTATTGAAAAATGTACAAAATATATTTAAGGATTTCATGAAAATTGAATAATTTATTTAAAGCATTTTACAATTATTTTATTTGATTTTTTTTTTTTTTTTTTTTAAATTTTATAACTACGTAATTGTAAAAAGTTTAATTACACTTTTCCATTTAATTTTATATTATTTATTTATTTTTTTTTTTTTTTTATTATTATATATATTTTGGTATATTGAAAAAATTGAATTTTATGTGATAATTTTTTAAAAAAAAAAAAAAAAAAAAAAATGGGAAAATATGATATAGCTAGAAGGGCAGAAGAAGGAGATAAATACTATTATAGAGAAGAAAGATATGAAAAATTAGATAATAATAGTTTTACAAATAAATCAGATATTTATATGAAAGAAAAAGAATCATATTATATGGGTGAAAATAAAAAATATATATCAAGAAGTAGGGAAAAAATGGTTGTAGGAATGGGAAGAGAAAATTACAAAAATGAAAATATCTACAATAGTTATAAAAAATCATCACTTGAAAATCATTATGGAAAGAGGAATGAATTGTTAAATGCAGATAAAAATAGAAATTATTCAAAAAACAAAAGAGATTATCATCAAAAATTTTCTCGTGATAGATATTATAAAAGATCTCCGAGGAGAAATTTTTCGAAAGATAGAAGAAAAAATATTATTTATGAAAGGAATAATGAAAAGAAATTTAAAGAAAAATATAAGTATGAAAAAGAAAATAATAAATGGAATAATAACAATAATAATGATAATAGATCTGGTTTATATAATAATCATAGAATAAGAAATGAAAAAATTAATATGAAAAGATATTCACGAGATGTTGATAGAAAATCATATGATAATAATTCACATAAAATGAATATAGGAATGATGAGAAGAGAAAGACAAAAAAATATACGAAGTCACGTTTATAAAAAACCAGATCCATGTAAAATATTTGTCGGAAATATTTCTACAAATGCAAGAGAAGAAGACGTAAGAAGAAAATTTTTACAATATGGAGATATTATGAATATGCAGTGGAAGAGAAGATTTGCATTTATAGAATATTTTAAGTCTATTCATGCAAAAAATGCAATTGAAGAAGAAAATGGAAAAATTTTTTTTGGTGAAGAATTAAGTGTTCAACCTCACCATCCACTTCCTTATGGAAATAAAAATAATGAATCTAGAAAATTTCCTTCAAAATTTCAAAGAAATTTTTCTCCTCAAAAAAATGAATCTAGAGAAAAAAAAAATTCATTAAGAATTGTTGTAAAAAATATTGATGAAAATGCTAGTTGGCAAGATTTAAAAGATTTTGGTAGAGAAGTAGGATCTGTAAATTATGCTAATGTTGTTCAAGGTTATGATAAAGAAAAATATGGAATAATTGAATATTATAATTATGAGACCATGAAGAAAGCTATTGATATCTTAAATGGAAAAAAATTTAATGGAAAAATTGTGGAAGTTATGAAATATAATGAATCATTATTAGATTTGAGGTATAGAAATAAAGAAAGAGAATATAACAATGTAAAAGAAAATCATTTTGCAGATAGTGATAAATATTATTATAAAGATAAAATATATCATGATCATTTAGATGACAAAGAAAAATACAGAAGAGACAAATTTTATGATAGAGAAAAAAATTATGAGGGAAATAAATTTAATAGGGAAAAAAATGATGAATTTGATAGAAGTGATAAAAATTATAGAAAAGGAATGAATGAAAAGAGAAGGAGTATCTTATATAATGAAATAAACAGAGAAAGAGATAAAAGTCATAGAAGCAAACAAGAAAGTAAAAATAATGAAATAGAAAGAGAAGACGTAGAAAGAAGCCAAAGAAGTGATAGAGAATATGGAAAAAATGAAGATGAAAGAGAAAGAGCAAGAAGGAGAGAAAGAGAAATGGAAAAAGGTAGAAAGAGAGAGAGAAGAGAAAGAGAAAAACATAACAGTGAATCAAAAATAGAAAGAAATTTGAGTGTAGATGATAGAGAAGTAGAAAGGGAAAGGAAAAGAGAGAGAATAGAAAGAGGAGATAAAAGTGAATCAAAAAATGAAAGAAATTTAAGTTTGGATAGAAATGAAATGGAAAGAGAAGGAAAACATGAAAAAGAAAGATTAAAAAGTGAAGCAAAAAACGAAAGAATCATAAGTGAAGATGAAAGAAGAAGAGATAAAAGTGAAAGAAGTGAAGAAGGAAGAGAAAGAAGCGAAGAAAGGTATGAAAGAAGGGAAAGAAGTGAAGAAAGAAGAGAGAGAAATGAAAGAAGGGAAAGAAGTGAAGAAAGAAGAGAAAGAAGTGAAGAAAGAAGAGAAAGAAGTGAAGAAAGAAGAGAAAGAAGTGAAGAAAGAAGCGAAAGAAATGAAAGACGGGAAAGAAGTGAAGAAAGAAGGGAAAGAAGTGAAGAAAGAAGGGAAAGAAGTGAAGAAAGAAGAGAAAGAAGTGAAGAAAGAAGAGAAAGAAGTGAAGAAAGAAGAGAAAGAAGTGAAGAAAGAAGTGAAAGAAATGAAAGACGGGAAAGAAGTGAAGAAGGAAGAGAAAGAAGTGAAGAAAGAAGAGAAAGAAGTGAAGAAAGAAGAGAAAGAAGTGAAGAAAGAAGCGAAGAAAGAAATGAAAGAATTAAAATTAGAAAAAATAAAAGTGAAAAAAGCAGTTATGAAAGAGGAAAAAGAAAATACAGCAGTGAAATAGAACAAAAAAAAAATAAAAAAGGAAAAAATGATAAAGAACAAGAACAAATGAAAAATATGCGTGAAGAAAATTATAGTGACTATGAAGATGCAAGTGAAAAAGGAAAAGGAAAATATATAAGGGAAAAATCAGAAGAAAAGAAAGTAATTATTGAAAAAAACGAAAACGATAAAAAAAGAGAGAAATATAAAAAAGAAAAATATGAAAGACACAGCAAAAATGAAAGAGAAGATAGTCAAAAAAATGATTATGGAAATAGGGAAAGTTATAAAAATGAAGAAAGTGAAAGTATAAGGAATAAAAGGGTAGATGATCAAAATGCATGTAAAAAAGGAAAAGATAGAAATGGAAGAGATGATAATTTATGTGAAAAAGGAAAAGTTGCTACACGTAAAAATGATAGAGAACAAAATATAAGAGGTGATGATGATCTTCTATATAAGAGTGATAGAGAAAAGAGTATTAATTCAAAATACATAAATGAAAAAGGAGATAAACATATTAATCAAATTAATAAAAATGATCAAGGTTATAGAAGTAGAAGTTCTAGTAAAAAACAAAAAACTTATAAAAAAAATGCAAGCAGAAAAAAGGTATCAAACATATCTGAAGAATCTGGAAAAAAAAATGAATTAATAGAATGTATTAATGATGAAAGTAAAAGTAGCAAGTGGTCATCTAAGAAAATGTGTGTAAATAAATATAATTCTACAAATAACGAAATATAAAAATGTAGAAAAAAATATATATATAATTTAGTTAAATAAATTACATATATATATATATATATATATATATATATATATATATATTTCATTTTATCTATTTATAATACATATGTAAGATTTTAATTAGATTCTAATAAATGTTACATTTTGATTAATAAAGTATATATTATTATTATACATGTTAAAAAAATTAAAATATATTTTTTTATTTTACTGTATTTTATATTATTTATAATTAGAAGAGAAATATATGCATATATATTATATGCATTTTATTTTAATATATAATATTATTTATAATTTTTTTTTTTTTAAATACGAAGCAATACTTTTATGTTATGAAGAATATTTAACTATTTTGAATGCATGCATTTTTTAGAAAAAATTAATTAAAATTGTTTCTTTATTTTTACGTATCTATAATGAATTTCATCTTATCATTTTTTTTAATCTTTTTTTTAAAATTTAGAAATTTTTTTTTTAAAATATAAATAGAAAGTATATAAAATAAATGTATTAAAAAATATACAAGGATACTATTTGGAATATATCTTTGTTTTTCTTTACATTGAATTAATATATTTTTAAAGTGAAAAAGGAAAAAATATATATTTTAAATAAAATTTATAGTTATAATAAAAATGTTTCTTAATTATATATACATATATAAGGTATTTTTAATCAAAAATATGAAAATTAAATTAAGTTGTATAATAGAAATAATTACACTATGCATATTATATCTAAAGCTAATATGTCTTCTTGTCTACAATTCAAATTTATAAACTAGAAAAAAAAAAAAAATAAAATATTTTTTTTAAAAAATTTTTTGAAGTTTTTGTTTTGCATTTTATCCCATACTATTGAATTATTTATTTTATTATATTATACTTGATATATATATTTTTGAAATCCAATGTACTCTATATATATTAGAATAAGTATTTAAAAGAAATTAAAATATGTAAATTATTTGATATGTTCACTGTACTTTTACATCAATATATTATAATATGTTATAAATGCATTTTTAATAAATTTCCATAATTTATTTATATTTCCATATATTAAAAAGGAAAACAACATATCAATAATACAAAAGTTTAACTTTTAATAAATATAACACCATGAATTTTATTATTATATAAAATCTCTTTTCTTATAAAATTAAGCATAATAATTTAACTGATTCTAAGGATAAATTAAGTTACTTCTATGTTCCTTTTTTTTTTTT